TGACCAATCGTTGTCATCAAATGAGTTAAGCCACCGAAGAAAAGATGGTGACAAAATTATAATAACGATAAAAAAAAAAGTGATAGCAAAATCCCCACCGGGGAAATGTGTAGGGTGAACGGACACAGAATAGATTGTAGATAGAGAAACGATAGAATACACAGTATAAGAATATTAGTATCACATAATCGTGTTCTTAATTCTTAATCAGTTCCTTTTACATTTATTAATATTAACGATATTCTACTAAACCGGTTTATTATAGCCGATCTTTATACTTCAATAAGTCGCCGAAATGAATTGGACATTAATAAAAGTACTGTGGTACAGTATTTTTTTTATAAAGTAATTGCTATAAAATTCATTTTTGAGAGTAACTACTATGTAGCGATAGTAATGGTAATTTTATTATGTGAATAGTATATAGTTGAAGACGGTAGTAATGACATCATAGTAGCTAATAATTAATTTCGAAATTAAAATTATTTTGTTTATCAATTATAGCGCGTGCGTCTCTGAGATATCCATTTCTGATAACTCCTCAAGTGGCGGCAATCGATAAGGATTCTGCCTTCTTGAATAGTTAGAATATTGCGAATGTTGACTCCCAGTATCATCAAAGTCTCCGACCCCTCCCGCGACACTCATATTCCCATTTGTTTTCATCATACTTTTCTTCTTCTTCTTCAAAGTCTTCTTCAAATTTTTAATTCTCTCTGCTTCTTCCCTCTTTTGTCTTTGAATCTCCCAATCACCAAAGCTCTCGTCATTTTGGAAACACCAGATCACACGCCTTATCCATTGCAGACTAAATACTAATTTGACAACTCGCCAATATGCTCTGAATGCCTCTCTTGACGTCCCAAATACGAACCAGATTATTATTCCCAACGATGCTATTAAATAGTCAGTGTAAAAAGGGCGGAAGTTGTATTCGGTTAACCGGATCGCCATATACAAATTCCTGCCCGATATCCCGACCGTGATCGCACTGTAAAGCAGTCCAAATAGCAATAACCTTAGACATACGTATACGGGAATAGATGCTATTGTCTTATTCGACAGTCGTAATGGCGGCGATAGTCGATGAGGTGTATCGGGTGCAGTAGGGACAGCAGTGGTTGGCGTGTATGATTGTTCAACATCATCGGAAATACGTGATTGGGATTGTGAATGAATCGTTTGTATTGTTACTTGGGAATTAGTCTGTCCGATTGATTTTGTGACTAAAGTGGCATCAAACCCCCGTCTTGTATAAATTATCTTCGCTACTTCTATCGCCGTGCGGACTAGAAGACAAAACAGAAAAGAAAGAAATGTTATCATCGCATATATGAACAATATTTTAGCAACGCATACGATTAATCAATCATGAATTAAGAGTTAAATCACTCACACGAAAAGTATATTGCTGGGATTGCCAAGAGCGTATTCCATCCTTCAACGCTTACAAATGCTAGCGGAATCATCGGTTTATAAAGAAAACAGAAATATGCAGCTGGCAACTATTTCCAAATTAATGAATAAGCGAAGTTAGGGAAGCATGTTTACGAAAATCCTCCCAAAGTTATCCTTCCGCTCTCATCCCCTTTCCCCAAGTACTCACGATTCCGTTTGGCTTTTCAGCAATAATGGCCGGCGGGACAAACCCAACCAGTAAGGGAAACAATATTGAGACCGCAATATAATATTTCCGCCTCTTATATTCGTCATCAGGCACATGCAGCACTATCCCTCTGTAAATCTCATAAGTGTAAACCAGCACAGTTAAACCACCGGCGATGCTAGCCGCATTAATCCAGAGACCCTGTATCCAACAGACAATTGTCGGTGCTCTTGCTAATTGCGCGCCATATATCCATCCTCCGAGTGCGTGCGGGATGAAGATGAGAACGATCGAAACGCAGAAATATACAAATATGCGATTGTAGTTGAGGCGGTAATAAATTATTACAAGAACGAACATAAGGAAAAGTGATAACGTGCAGAGTATCGAGTATATTAGACCACCGTCAGCAAAGTGTTCTTTTGTTGGTACGGGTGGGCCTGTTGGAGCTGCGTTTGAACTGTATCTATCCATGACGCTTGAGGTTGAAAGATAGACGATAGTAATTCAGAAAATTACTAGATTTGGTGTGGAAAATTGTGAAAATGAACGGAGACTCCAAGATTTGTTAAGTTACAAAGATGAGTTTGTCTATATACAAATCTAATAATTAACGTGGAAACATACAAATTATAATATATTCTAAGATGACCTCTTTTTAAGATCAATCAGTTATGGTTGTTTTTTTTTTTGAATGATAAATTTCTTCTTCTATAGTTTACAACTTAATTAAAGATGCCAACAACAGTCTTGTCTCTTCACTAGCATGACATGTCCTTAGGTCTGATACACCGTATATTCCTCTATCCTGTGGTCAATAATAAGCACACTGCAATATAACAAAAGGAAGGCCTCACTAAGACGCAAAGTCCAACCCGATTAGAAGCATTCACTATTTATGGGAACGCCATTGCAGGACTTCCTGTCTGTGTTACGGTAAGCGAGGGGCGAAATTGAGATAGTAATAGGGAATAGAATTGTTAAACAATGATAGTACAAGGAAAATATGCAGAATGCTAAACGAAAAGGATAACATTGTAACCATACTTTGCAGTTTAAAATAATAGAATAATATAACAATAGGATTTGTATTTTTAGGGGTCATTATGGTCAATTTTGTAGAAGTGACAAATGCAAGTTTCTGTATTGTGCGACTTTCAATACCACATCCAGCGAACGCTCTTCAAGAGTAGCTCAACAAGATAATATCACAAATTACTGATCAAAATCTATCATCAGATATCAGGAAAACAAAAGCACAAACATGGGTACACCAACACTTGTACGTTGTACGACGTTTGTTATCTTAATTTCTTCCGGCGCCTTCGGAATAACTGTAAATACTAACTACCACATATGTAATGGCTACTATTCAAACGCAGGTCACATAAATAAAATATTTATGTTAATAATAAATTTTGTACGCTTTTCGCAGCGGTTGGCTTGGGAAAAACGAGTCACGTTCTTGGAACGTACGACTTTAACGCCAGGTCTGTTTTGAGCTCGTCGACCAAATTTAAGTTGGTGGGCAATGGCTGGGAACAATGATTTGACCGGACTAAAAGTAATTATAGCAGCTATAGAGAGGGCGAACAAATTTGGGGAAACAAATATAAACGGTGCAGCCTACCACAAACGTAGTGGTATTCAGACATTTTAGTATCGATTTGTTACCAATTGGCTTGTTCCACATTCGACACTGTTTGGTTTGTGCGAGTAATCGAAATAATGCAAAGGCTTCCCGTCTGATGGATTGTCGAAGCTTTCTGTCAAATTTTTTAGGATGAACTTGATTCTAATTCTAATTATTTACAGCATAAAAGTTATATATATATATGAGAATACATGGCGGCTCAGAATGCTATTACGATTAAACCAGTACATGACATTTTAATATTAATATTACTATCGTTATCGAAAAATACTTTAACCGGTAAATCACATGATCTTTTTGCAAACCACGGATGACATCATGTAAACACTATCAGCTCATAGATACTGTGTTGCATAATCATAATGATCAATACCGTCTGTTTCGCGTGGTGGCACTATTTTGAGTGTTATTCGAATATTTGACAATCGCATCTGAAATCACGTTCTACTCTTGTTTTATAAAATTTCTTCCCCGTATGTTTCTGGCAGCATTCTACGAAAAATTTGGTGTCAGTAAAATCGCGGTTTGGCCTGAGGGATTAGTGTTTTATATCATTGTTCAGTTGAAAGTACAGATATGCTGAATTTCAGACAAGTGCTGCCAACGAATTCAAATTAACAGTTGTTTTTGCAGCAGTCTTATGGAATAAACTGACGGTTGGAAGTCGTTTATACCATTTGCTAATTTTATCAAAATGAACACAATCTGTTCAATGCTTTTATCACCGTATGTAGCGGTTTGGTGTTTTGAATACGATTTTTAGGAACAACCGGAAACAAACTTATCGGCATATTTTAATAAATACTTAATTATATTAATTACTAAGAAGTTATTTTCCTTGAGCATTTTGAAAAAGTAAACGAACATAATAAACAAACACTAATACTAAGTTATTATATCGCCAGTCGAGTTGACTATAGTAATAGACTTAATCTTACAAGTGGACAAATAAACCTACTACGACTATTATTACTACTATTACTGCTACTACTCCAAGTAATTATGATTACTTTATAAACGGTCCCTACTTATTGACTATTAGTTAATGTCTTGTATGTTGGCAAATGTGACCACCAAAATTTGCACTATTTCTCGATGCCTGTCAAATCATTCGCGACCGCGGTTTATTGGTTCGCTTTCAGTAAGCAGGAAGAAGTTGTTATTTTACTTGATATTTCTTGATTTTGGGGCATAAGGTAAATATTGCAACACAAATAATCCGTTTCCTCGTGAATATTATTTGTTTGAAGCCTGTCGGCTTTTTTTGAATTATCTCTGTTCGCGAAAGCCATTGTAAAACTTGGTTCAGATGTCGCTCATTGTTTGCAACGATTGCTTGGATTAACGTGTCTTCTTGCTCGCAAAATCTTAGCTTTCATATCTTTTATCACAAATGTTTTATCCTTTTTATTCCTCCCGAAATATGCTATTCTGTGGATAAAACTATTTTGATCCAGAAAATAGTAACCTCTCCTAAACTCCAAGGCGTACTTCTAAAACTAGCAAAAACTAGAAAGGACAGGAATCCATATTAATGTAAATTTACGCGACTAGATCACTGAATAACCACATAATATCCAAAAGAATGTCAATATTTATACTTTGGCCTGAGAATGTAGTCTCAGGGATGGGCCAAGCATATGCGCCGACAATCATATTTCTCCTGTAAATTAAAAATAAAGTTTTTAAACAGATATTAGTATCGCATAGACATGTTAATTGATTATTACTTATTATCAGATAAGGCTTATAAATAATGACTGTCAGGGAAAATGAACCAGACCTGGACTCGTCTGAATCTTCAATGTTCGTATAAATATAAAGTCAGCGTATTATCGATAATGAATATGATTGAAGGTTTTCTTACATCCCAAGAAGCTCCTTAACATCCATTTGTAGTGACCTCGTCGCATAGGCTTTGCTGACATCTCAGAAGGCAAATTGCACATAGCTCTTAATAAGTATAAAAAGTGACTTCTATTATAAATGAATAAGCAATTGTAATGAATATTGGATATTTATTATAATATACTGTACATTACTTCGCATGTAGTTCCAAAAATAAATGGATATGTGATTGGAATGTTATTAAAACGGACATTGATAGTTGAAATTGATACTCCATTAGTTGCCTATAATTTCATGCGAACAGGATAAGGCAGCGGTTGAGAATATATCAAGACCAGAAGTGTCGATTTAAAAACATTATCGGCAAGTTACACGTAAACTGAGCAAAAAGACGAAGTGCGCCTTTGATATAATGATTATTAAATAATAGAAGATAAAGCGATCCAATGCTCAATTCACCTATCACATTTGGTTGAATTCCCTCCTAAAGTACTTTGTTTCTGGTTGAGATCCTGTTCACGAAAACTAAACCACTTATGCTGAATACCCCAACAGATCGTTATTTGATGATTCAGCTGGACACGAAAGCACCAGTCGCTGAATATATAGCCTTCATGGCATGGTTTGAAAAGGGTGAGATTTCTTGTCGCGTAAACATGATCACTAGTCCGCATTGTTGCCTAAATGATTGTTCCGGGAAACTTGCTGCAATACGAGACTCCATAATAGTCAAATAGTCGCTTCACATAATGGTAGGTTCAACAGCACTTATTTGAGACTGTTGACTGATGTAGCATCTAAAGCGATTTGGATAACTGTGTGTCAACTAAATTTGTATGCTACGATCATGCTGGATAGGTGTTCGATGTCCAGCTGTCCAACACCGTTGCATGATTACATGGTTCTTCACGTATGAACAATTAAGATGACGTTCATATACAAATGAAATAACATATCCATAAATTTTTGATATCCCACAGTAAGACATAAACTCAAACGCAACTAAAATCAGACTCTAATCTAAACTCTTTTGCTTCGCTGATTCTTGAATTATCAATCCAAAAGCAGTATTACCACCGTGTTTCGTTTTCCTTTTAATGTCCGGAGTGAGATAACGTTGTTTCGATTCCGGCAAGTCGATAACATTGATGTGTCAAAAGCCGATGATGTTTTTTTTTCTTCGATACAAACTGTTTCTTCAATAGTGAACTCGACCGCTGTCAAGTCATCGTTGTGTGACAATCTGTGTCATAGTTGTATTCATCCGCAGTAAAGTTTATCATGAGGTTTTACAAGGCGTGAGTCGTGCACACCCTATGTCCAACGACTCAGCATGTCTTATAACGGACAAATTCCAGAAATTCGGTGACAAAGCGAAGAGAACATATGATATGGACAAACACTACATCCGAAAGCATCGACATTTAATAATCTGCTTTGAATGCAATAACGTAGATCCCGTAGCCTCGATGTTTCACCGATATTATAAAAAGATCAATCTTGACAAATTTGGGTTAATAATTGTGGGTGGGAGTTTTATGAACATTCCCACGAAATCGAACGAATATTTCCACACAATGAATGAACGTTTTACGGACACCTCGTCTGTCTCGTTTGAAAGCCAATCATAAACATTTAGTACATGAATAAGACGAATTGTCGTAGAAGAGATTTGATGTCTCTCTTGTATCCCTGTATCATAAGAAACATTAAGTGTGCTGTTATCACGCATGGTGTGAAAGTTAATGAATGTGGCGTGATATTGTAACACTTAAGCGGATTGGATTCGCCAACAGATTTTCTCCGATTACACATGCGCATTAAACACAGGTGCCCAGTGCGTTTCTTCCGGGTTAGAGAACGTGGAATCGATGGTGGACTATTATTTGTTTGTCGTTACTCACGAAAGAAGGATGGGTACACTGTTGATAGAGAATATAGGACGCTCAATGACAATTGTTCTTAGGGTTTGGGGCGGTAATATATTGAGCGAAGATTCTCATTCCTTAGCTTTATTGTGATTCGCAAATAGACAATACAATTAGTAAAGGTGGCATATTGTCATCAGTAAATGTCATTCGTACAAACAAGCGTATCAACTGTTTGTATATATATCGAAAGTTAGAAACTCATATGATTGAATCATCTAACTTGACGTGAAAGTTCCTACCGACGCAAATAAGATCGAATTATTATATGGGGGTGCCAAGATTTCTGAGTGACAGTAATAGGACAAAATAAACTTCATTGTTTAAAAGTAAAGTCAGTAATATTAATATGGGTGTCCACATGAATCTAAACCCAAATAGAAAAAGAAAATGGTTTCGTTTCACGGGTACAGGGGATGGTTGACTTCCTTTTTAAAAAATTTAACGAGCACCTTCGCTCCTTATTTCTGGTCTAATGTTACGAATTTAAATTCTGACAAGGATATCTATCATCCATTTTTGTAATATCTGTACCAATCGCTATATGGCGAACGAGGCGATGCCATAATTCTTGCAAGAACGTTCGTCTTCTGGTTAATGTGACGTATAAAATACGTTAGAACAATTTATACGTAATATAAATATATGTGTGTAACACGGCATGTGTGCGCCACCTCTTGACCCCCGCAACAATATATAAACCCTTCCACCCAACTAATGTTCTTGATATTCTAACTACCGCTGTGTGGTAAGTGCTACTTTGTAAAGTATATATACACACATATTATAGAAGGAAACTGACACAAGGAGATGCACAACAACAATATCATCAACAATACCACTTTACTGTTACTGGGTGTCCTCAATAAGATTGCATTGATTACTCCAATTGTGCGAATACAAGGCACTGCGTCCCCCCACTTCAGTATTCTATAAAGTTACCGAGTAACGGAGATCTCGTTCTATAGATATCAACGTCATATACAAATACTACAACTTGCAATACTCATTATTTTTTCTTCTACTGTTTATTATATTACTTCCGCCACAAAGCAGGTAGACGCTCATCCCGTATACTCTATTCCTCATTACGGAACAGACAATATTATGCCCCATTATTAGTTGCAGATAAAAAGCAACAAATTGAATATTACTTTATCAAAATAACAATAATAAATATATTTTGCATAGGTGTTGGGACGAGTGAACAATTGGATAAGGAAGATAAGAGATGAACGTAGCACTAGCAAAGAACTTATAACATACAATACGCTCGGATAGTACATTATATATAAGTGTATACACTCGCTCTCATTGATTGTCAAAGTAGACAAATTATCCCATTGGCAATTGTGAATTGAGATAACCGTACGAAGCATATATAGCGTGCAATCAAAATTATCAGGAGAGAAATCAATAATTGCTCTCATAGACAAAAGAATCGCTCTCGACTTGCACTTCTAGAACTCGATGCTCACACTACGCGACACTGCTACTACTGCCCTTTCATCTGCTTCTTACTGCGAACACTACCGACCTTCCTCTCATCTAGTACACAGCGAAGCGACAATGACTTCACTCAGTAATATCTCAATTCCAACATCTCACTCTGATAGTGTGTCAAGGTAAAGTATGAAATGAGGCAAATTTAAATACTAATAATTAGAATAAATATAAGAAGACAAAAAGGGATGATGGTAAAGATGAGATTAAAATGTAATAGATGTACGCCGGTATATTACTACAGTCTCACTCTTTATTCTCACTCTTTGTTCTCTGTTCTTGTTCTTTCTCAATTGTTTCCTTATCTACCACGACCGCTACTTTAGTTTTCCTTCTATTTATTCATTTCGTTCGCATATTATCTCTAATCATTCACATGCCTCATAGATCGCAACTCACATCGGTACGACGAAAGCGGCATTCCTTGGGACCGGCCTCGCAAGACACAAAAGCCCCACGCACACAAGCAACCAAAGTCTGTTCGTTAAAATCACAGCCTTTACTAGATGTAAAAGAATTACAAGTGACAAACACAGTTCATAGTGGAAGAAAGACTTCGATAAGCTTAAATCTCTTTAAGCCATCCCTAACGGACTCGGAGTCGCAGTCTCCGGCGTTCATGATAACAGACAGCAAACCAATCTCTGCAACAGCAAATCAATCATTTTCGCCCAGTTCAAATCATTCATCAGATTATTTCTCGAATACCACTCAGACATGTGATTCCGATACGGATTTCTTCGAAAATGACGACGAAGAGGATGACATCAAAGACGACGATTTCGCCCTTTTCACCATGTCAGGTTCACCAGCAGCTGTTCCTCTGACTCCTTTCGCAAATCAAGTAGGCGGTCATACCTCATTCTTGCGATTCTCCCGACGCGCCGTGTGTAAGCCATTAGCAAGACGCGAGAATCAGTTCTACGAGATATTAGAAATGCAACATCCTGAACTATTGTCGTTTGTTCCTAAATACTTGGGCGTACTGAATGTAACTTACCGTGAAGAGGAAGGTGTTGGAAGCATGCCTGAAGTATCGCTAGAGCGTAACAAACACTTATTGCCAAAATGGTTTCTCAAAAAAGTAGAGAGAAACAACATTAGTGATAACTTTTCCAAAGTTCATAAAGATACTCATGAAAAATATCTTTCTTCTACCCTGCATGGTTCTACCAGAGTTAATAAGAAACTTCAACAACAAGTTCTCCAAGAAGTTTTCTCTCCTCGTGCTCTTCGTGCCCGTATGCAACAAAGCCAAGCGGTAAATAACCAATCATCTGTCTTTCGCCGACATTCAATGACCAGTCTATCTACTCTAAAGCCGCTCGAAAGTTCCAAGCCGGGAATGTCGCGTAGTTATACAGAAAGTGGTGCCACAGAAGACAATGAAAAGATAGTGAGGCGTTCGTCATCATCGCCTGGAAGTGCCATAGAGGACGTTATGGGTGTAGATGAAAACTTGGATGATGGCATAGACGATGACATGTGTGATGAAAAGAGTGGGATCGATATACCGGATAGTGGGAAAACTCAAGGAAGATTGTCTATCGTGGATAATGAGCAACCCGATTCCGAAGAATATTCTACCGCTTTCAAAAGTAGTCCTACCTTGTCGGAGACTCAAAGCGTCTTCGATATGGGGGAAGATAGTCCACGTTTTTTGAGTTCTTTATCACCATCACAGTCTTCTCCCACTCGTCATACACCAGCAAGTACATTGACACCTTCGTCTTTTCCCGAGATTTCTTTTTCCTCTTCCAGTCCTCCTGCATCGTCTTCATCTTCACCATGGGCGAAAACAAATAACCCTTGGTCATTACATTGTTATACTGCGCAATTAAGCAAGTTGCAAGGTAATAATGCAGATAAACAAAATACGCAGCAGTTTATTTTGCTTGAAGATTTGACCGAAGGATTACAATATCCATGTGTCTTGGACTTGAAGATGGGAACTAGGCAGCATGGGGTCGACGTCTCGCCGGAAAAGCGGATCAGTCAGATGCAGAAGTGCGCTAAGACTACGAGCGCTACGTTGGGAGTTAGGATCTGTGGTATGCAGGTGAGTTTTCAACGTTTGGTGTCTTCCTATATGATCATTCGCCTTTCAATTTGGTTCTTACCTTTTTGTCTGCACGCTAAAATCCTCTATTATCAACAGGTCTACAAAACAACCACTCATGAATTCGAATTTCAAGATAAATACTACGGTCGCACATTGAAGCCTGAAACGTTCGTTATGGCTTTGGCAAACTTTCTGCACAACGGTGAACACATACTTACCCACCATATTCCAACCATCGTTCGCAAACTCCGGTGTCTTGCAAAAATCATACGTTCTCTCGATAATTATCGCTTCTACGCAAGCAGTCTTCTCCTCATCTATGACGGCAATGAAGCCAATTCATCCGAGATCGATATCAAAATCATAGATTTTGCTCACTGCACTACTGGAAACGATCATCGACCCGAGGAGGTGCGATATCCACCCACACACAAAGGATTTGATATTGGATACTTAGTTGGATTGAAGAATCTATGTAGAAGTTTCGAGATTATATTTAAAGATGCCACTGGGGAGTCGTTAGGAGACATTGGGGAGGCTGAAGGTGATGTATTTAAGGGAATTATGACGCCAAGTGAAGAGGCTCTTGGCGGAATCCGGTTGGAGAGGAAAGCGTCACTCGAGTGAAGAGAAGATAATGATTGGTAATGTATCTTCCTTCGAACTGGACTTTAAACATTGTATAAATTCGTACCTTACTTCTTTAATTGTTTATATGCTTTCATTTGCGTCACATATATTCGAATTTAGTATAGTTTGTACATATTCACCTGTAGTAGATACCGTAATAAAATACTTGCTGATATACTTGGCGTTCTTGTATTCTCGGAAATATACGTTCAGTTATATCGTCATCTTTCTCTCAGAAGCCTACGTTTTCTTTAATGATTACATCCCGGCCATATCTTAATGGTAAATCTGCGTGATATCGTCTTCTCACATGATGAGTTTACTCAACTGCAAGAAAAGTCTTGATTCTCAAAAAGTACATTCTAAATTAGGAGCAAGAATGCCTCTATTCCTTATTTGTATAAAGATGTGTATCAAGATTTGATACGTGCAAAATATGATATTTCGCTTGCCACAGCAAAATGCGTTTAATACAGTCAGGCCTCGATAAGCCGGCCGCATAATTTATATTATCGAGTACTCTAAACAATATAAATTATGCGGCCGGCTTATCGAGGCCTGACTGTACTAACGTTCGAATAAATTGTCAATTAATTTATTGGCTGACAGTATGGGTCAGTTAGTTCATTTTTCTTTACGCGTTGGTTCGCCTGGTTTCTGAATCATTACTGCAACTTACCATCTTTGACAATCGGGTAGACTTCTGCATGCCAGATGATTATTTGGATATTCATACAATTGAACTTCATTAAAGTAATTCAAATAGCATAATAAGCTTCGGCCTTCTCTTGTGGGGATATCTACAGTGAAAATTGTCCACCTTTTATGTGCTTTTAATCTGAAATTTTCAAAGCGTTTGGCAATTCCCGTTCTACGGGATTACTTGACGACTTTCTATTGTCATTTCACAAAGTTAGTATCAACTGTAAAATTTTCATCGTCAATTATGCTCAAAAGGTTTATGAGGTAAAAGCTTAGGTAAAAACTACGTGGATAGCGTTACTATCATGCCTACTGCGAGTGTAGGATACTTATTTGCTAATGTTTTAACGACTGTTGGATTGATAGAACTAATGTGTGCGGTCCATACGAAGCACTCATTCGAGATGCGCTATTCGCCTCCTGCTTGGTCCTGTCTTTATCTTAACGGTTGCTTCGCTTCTTGCCTTCTAAGATAGCTTGTTTGAATTATTAGTCGCTACTAACATTCCCGTCATTACGCATCCCCAATTTGGCTTTGCCGCCAAAGTGGCCGTGATCATGTAGGGCTTGGATTTTCATTGCTTGTGCGTTGTGAGTGTAACTTCTACCAGGTACCATCTTGTGAAGTTTAATAATGCTACCGTATATGTAATTTTCATAATAATAAATGCACAGTATATTAATCGACATATAAATGTACTAATACTAATACAGAGGCTTTAATACTCTGGCGGTTGCTTAAGCTTGTAGCATTCGATTTACCCGTCTTGGGGACTTTGAAGAAAGCGACGAATCACATTATCGTTATTTGTTATTATCGTGTCCAATTTATAAACAGTTAAGAATTTTTATTTGGACAGCCACTTCTATGGAAAATACTGCAACAAGCCTCATTATGGAGGGACAAAAAGGATTGATTGGATAATAATAAAAGATAAATGATCCCATTCCAACCTCTCGTCTCCTAACTTCCTATAAGCCATGCCACCTAAATCCCGTACTCGCCGACGAAACAGTGATGCCTCATATAGTCTTCCTTCTGAGAGTGATAGCAGCAGCGATAGTGAGAATTCTATATCTGTTTCGACCAGTCGTCGCAGAAATTCTCCATCACCATCAAGACAACAGAATGCGTCTAGTAAAAGAAGTAGTAATGCGTCTAGCAAAAGAAGTAGTAATGCGTCCAGCAGAGCGTCCAGTGTAAGTCCTACTCGTAACAAGAACAAATCAACATCGGCATCGTCGTCCCGACAACAAAAACAGACGAATCGCAGAAAATCTAAACGAAAGAATGCTGTTGTCACAAACGCAAATGATAAAACGCTAGTAATTCCGAAAATAGTAGTTAGGAATCCAACTAAAAAGGCAGTCGTTATTCAAAAAAAACAACCACAACCACAACCACAAACAGAGACAGGTTTATTGACTCCACCTAAAGCAAGGCGCAAGCGTAATCAGAAAAAGGAACTTGGAAAGGACGAGAAGGAGAACTCTAATCCAGAGGATGACATTCTTGCTACATTACCCCTTCCATCTTCATCCATCCGTCATATTTACAACGAGAACGTATCAATGATTGGTGCTATTAATATCCAAGCATTTGGAACAAAAAAAGCCTCCAATCGTACTTTAATGCGTATCATATCCGATATCCTTCGTCGATACGATATAGTTTTGTGTCAAGAGATCCATGCACCAAAGGACGATGATGCTGTCATTCGCACTCTTGTTTCTTCTGTGTCAACTCCGTCTACTCCATATGCCTACGTGGCAAGTCGTCCAATAGGCAGAGGTAGATATCGGGAACGCTATGTGTATCTCTATCGCACTAACGTGTGGCGCGTGTTAGATGAATACGTAGTAGACGACGATACTAAATTGGGAGATAAGTTTGCCCGTGATCCATACGTAGTTAGATTTGAACATGTCAAGAAGTCGAACACAAGAGTAACATTAGTTGGATGTCACACACAACCTGAGAATGCGCTTATCGAGATTAAAGCATTAATTGAGAATGTGTATTCAGAGGTCAAGAATAATTTGAAAGACGCGGTCAGAAAAGAAAAAGTTATGACGAAGAGGTATAAGAGAGCAGCTGAGAGCGTTGATAAGGATGAAAAGGTGTCCTTCTTCAGAAGGTTGTTTGCATGTTGTTTTCCCATAGTTTCCACTTCTTCCTCGACGTCTCGTGAGGCAAGAATGTCGCTTTTGTCTTCAACTGAGCCAATTATAATGATGGGCGATTTAAATGCGGCTGGGTCATATGTCAACAAGGCACAGAGGACAGAACTAGATCAGTTGCTTCAAGATCATGGACTGGTGTGGGGAATTCCTCATACTACAGATACAACAGTATCCGACGGATCTGATTCAGCATACGATAGATTTATATTTGAGCGTGAGAATGAAAAACGATGGATTGGAAATTCTGGTACATGGAGGTTTGATGAAGGCTGGTTGAAGACGAGTACTGATCAACTGTTAATCAAGAAGTTGGCCAAGAAGGTTTCTGATCATTATCCTATTGAATTTGAATTTAGACTATAAGATCTGTGGCAGTAACACGGAGATCAACACGGGAATTGGACAAGGTAGTTAGCTTCGAATATTAATGCAACGAATTAAAAGCTATTGATATCGCTTCGCTGGCTGTACCCTTAACTTATTAATTATTACCTGACTCAGTTGAAGAGGGAGAGAATTTCAATAAGAATCGGCTGTAATAATCAAATCTTTGGTCCCCAATTAACACATCATAAATAAAGTCGATTTTATTATTTCGAACTCGAAGTCAAGTCTTATTAACAAAGTATAATTCAGTAGCAATATTATTCTCTTGATTGAGCAGTCTCCGCTTCAACTAAATGAGAAGGAACTGTCTTAGCCCTCACCTGGCTTTTCGTCAAGAGAACTGCGAATGCACTATAGATAAATTCAAGTAACTCCAATTCATGATCAGTTTCTTTTTTCGAGTAGACTTCTATAATATTTTTATACGTTTTGGAGAAGACGATAAGCTGCCATATGATCTTAATGCTCCGACTCAGATGAATACAGTCGACTCTCACCCTTTTAAGATAGTAGACTCGATAAAATAAAGTCACTTTAAGGTAAAATCACTCTAAATAAAGAAATTTCCCGCCCTAAATTTTTTGTATTAAAATACTTCTATAATATAAATTTTATTGTAATCTCGATAAAAACTGTAAGATAAAGAGAATTCTTTCACGCTTCTAACGAATAATCTCCATAAATTGCATACTAATACCTTTATCACTTAAATATTTATTAGATTTATTCGAAAACCACGAATAGTCTTTTCTATTAAGGATAACGCAAGAACGTATCTAATTCATTATCTGGTAGTAAAAAACCCGAGAAAGACTTAACGGGAATACGACTGTACCAAATGTTCAATAGTACTTATATCAAATCAAGAACTCACGGAGAAAATTTCAATTGATCCTGCTACAGTAGTCAACGAAGGATACGACTTTCCCAAAAACATAATTAAGCGACGTAAACCGTCAGTGGTGTTGATGCCGCAGTATACCATATACGTGATGGTTGAAAGTTCTGATCGTGGGCGTTTATCTCAACAACTGCCCAATACATTTAAAAACCAAGACTATAGTAATCTGAGGTTCTATGACAGCTAAAATAAGTTGACTTGGTTAATTGTAATTTGTCGAGGGTATCCTATCCTAAAACAATTGGAAAGTAATCATAGTTGGGAATTTCTAATTATAATTTGTCATAGAAATTAGGAACGACGTTGAAATTTCCATGACTTGAAAAATTTCATTGCAATTCGATGTCTGCAGCAAATGTTCTACAGTCTCGGGGGAAAGTAATGGCGGTGTTTATCAAATGCAATTTCCACAAAGGCTTTATGAATAACTTAAACACTTGGCAGTAATTAATGTTATTTGCGATAACCGATGCAAAAAAGCCAAGTCTGGTTTTGGCTAAAGCATAAAATATAACGAAATATTGACCAAGTAGCTCAAAGATTGTTAACATAAAGCTAGCATTTGATATTGTAAATAGGTTAATTAGTACTATAATATTAATTTTTTTAGTAAAAAATATCTTGCCTACGGTCTTTTATCAAGTTATAATTGGTTCATTTTAAAATTTAAAATTTCAATTGAAGTATAAGAAATCAATATTATGCATCAACCGTATACGCTGTACGATTTATCGCAACAATATGTTTGCCGACCGTTATTATTTTCTTGACTGTAGAATACTGCAAATTACTTCATATACATTGTAACATTGTTATTATAAAT